TCATGTATGCTAAACATAGCTAACATTTAGTCCTCTTCATGTTACCTATCTTTCATTAGTAAAAGAATCTGCACTAAAGTGTTGTTTTCATCACAACTTCTTGGTGCTACATGTGATGTGTTCACTAATCAATAAAAGATTAGGGTTTGAGTTTCCGACCAGCTAATCAGGCCAATCAGGGATGATCACGAGTTCATCTGACAGTTGAGCTGGAACTTTCTTACTGCATCTTTATTCAGTATTCAACTGCACTGTTTCGCCACCCTTACAATAAACTTTAATTAGCTTTATGATACCTGATGAGTCAGAGAAGCAGAAAATATCTTTTTAACATCCCTGGAAGTGAAGACAACATGCCCATCTTCTAATTATACTAATTGTTTATTATCCTTATTTGCATAATTCAGTGCAATGATATCTCATTTTTTGTCTTAACAACAAAACTCTCCCAGTGTAACCCAGAAGAGAAAAAGAAACAAAATCAGTCACACTTAGTATGAAATTAAGGTTTGATATTTTTACTTAACACCAAAAATAAGTAATTCAGGTGACTTGTAAAAAGAAATCTGAACAGTTATGACTCTCATATGACAAATTATTTTCCAGTGCTAAGTTGTTCCAAGCACTATTCATCCTTTGAAAAGAACATGACCACGATTCATGTGAGTCTGCTGCTGAAATACCCCACAGCCCTGATGTAATAGAAGTCATAGAAGCCTTTTTGTGTGTGTAAATACACACAAATATCTTCTCCATCTTTTCTCCATTAAAAAATAGGCTTAAAAAAATAATGTTCATTTTCATGTCGAGTATCTTAATGTAGCATATTTTATCAAGCTCCCGTTGTGTGGAGCTAGAGATTTAAATGTGAATTATGCTCAGGTTTCAACCCTCTAAGATGCATGGTGTCTGCATTTCAGCACAGTTAGTTTTGGTCTGTCACTGAATGGCTATTTCAGCCCACAGAGGAGAGGCATTTGCATAAACATCCACCCACAAAATCTGGCAAATGAGTCTGTCACTCAAAAACATTGTCTGTGTGGTAAAGTGGAGGCAAAAATCTATTTTTTCTTATCTCAAGGGGTCTCTAACTGTTTAACAGGCAGTCTGTTTGCAGTGTACGACAAGTCTCCTCGTGTAGCTGTAATGGATGCTGCCTTTTAAACTTACAGGGTATGCTGTGATCCTGGATAGCATACATAATCATTTCATGTACTAATAGCATGCAGTGTATGTAGCTCCAGGTAAATAATGTAACATCTGCTTGACCCAAAATACTTGCACCCTCTGTTTGAAGCATTTAGTCCAGAGTTGAATTTTATGAGGAAAAAGGATAATTTTATCTCAAGTCCACATCTTTACCCCTAGTGATTCCACAAATATGTAAGTTCAGACCTATTTGTCAAGATGAGAAAGGGCAATTAATTCTGCACCTGTTTACACACTGCAGAATATTTCTTTTGGGTTTCCTTCTGTACAAACAAACCAAGCTTGTGTCTTTGACACACCAGAACTTACAGAAATACCAGAAATGAACTGAAATGTAATTAGAAGTAATAGAAACAGTCTATAGGACAAGGAAAATTAAGCATACAAGAACATTGGGTGAAACAGTTATTGAAAGATGGAGTTTTTTTGCATTAAGAGCTTTGTCAAAGGAAGAGTGCATTATGTTTAATAAATACTAAAGAGAATCTAAAAAGAGCTTCCAAAAATCAGCAACTGCATGAATAAATAAACAGCATGAATAAATAAATGCCATTACACAGAGATTATTGTTATTTTTTAGCTGATCCACTTGCATATTTGTCTATTCTTTGTCTGACTTTAATACAGCATTCTATATTTTTTCTGCTTTTACAAAAAAACTTAGAAAACATAGGCTATGATTAAATCCAGTGCAGAATTGTTTTGGCACATTCTGCTTACATTACAATCATAACTGTTAATTGCAATTTTAGACATTTTCTGTGGATTGAATTTTATAGTCCAGCAGTTGTGCTAGACAGATGTAAGGGATAGGTCAGTAACTAAGCCGTTACTAACCAAGACATCTCATACATGCTTGCGTTGCCTGTATGTTTTCATCAGCCATTTAGCTCCACTCTCTCTAAAGTGAAACTGTTATGTAATGCAGTACGAGACAGAAATTATCACTGTGCAACTTTCTCGTGCCAGATTGTACACAGTTTCTGTACTTTTTGAGAGAGAAGCAGTAAATCTCTGTGTACTCTTATACTAATTAAAATCTGAAAATCTTCACTTAGAATCAACAGAGTGATGTTTTGAGATATATTGAATTCAGCATTTGTTGTTGTGTTTTCCTTTTCAATGATGATGGGAAGTTTACTTATTTTCAAAGATTTCTCTCGTTTGGTCCGGGCCCCTTAGAATAGTTGGCTCTTAAATGGCCTTTCACATAGTATCACTGGAAGCCTTTTACCTATTACTATTAAATTGGAATGGTTTGTGTGTTGAAAATGTATTTTTTCTTTAGGGTTTTAATAAAAGCGTATTTTATAGGGTTTTTTCCTGACAAACGTGGCACACATTTGTTGTCGATATTGCTCTGATGGATCTCTCAATTTTACATTTCTGTATAGACAGGTACAGACAGGGGCTACTTATTTTTGTTTTTCAGCTCATTTTGCTTATTTACTTTTTCCCGACGCTAATGCATTTATATCTGGCTAATTAATTCCATAAATTTCCTCAGTTACTAAAAATAAACCAAAGTAGTTATTTTTGGACCGCAAGGGGGATGTCCCAGCAGGATCTTAAAAAACTCATCCATGCATTTATCTCTAATCAAACTGATGATTGCAAAAGGGTCTTCAGAAGTCTGCCTAAAAAGTCAATCAGACAGCTGCAGCTGATCCAGAACACTGCTGAAGAAAGGTAAAACCTATAACATAAAACACAAACTTTTATTTAATGAATCTGTAATCAGTGTAGAATATTCCGGTCCAGGTTTTGACTAGTCCATGTGGTGTGGGTTTTGTGCTTTTCCAATTCTAAGTTGGTCTTTATGCCAAAAACATTGGACTTGCTCCTCTTTTGTTTTTTAAATACAATAAATGTTCATACAACATTTTTATCATACAAATAAGAATCTCGGTTCAGTGTATAATTATCCAGTTCAGGTTTGATCATTCTAGGTATTCAAAATTTAACGTATGAGATGATCAAATGTAATCCAGACTCATGTTCAAAAAGACCCTTAGTTTAATACAGATAGGAAACTCCGAAGCAGATTTCAGCTTCAACATGGGTAGCTGCTGATAAATAGTCAGTCGCTGTATTTTTACAGGGCTTGCAGATTATACAAAATTTATCTGTCATTGTTTATTTTTCTCAAAATGGTTTTGTAAGTGAGTGATGTCAGCCAGCTCAACAAAATTCTGTATTAATCGCCTTTGTTGACACAACAGGCATTTCAAAATCAGTTTCCTTTATTGTTTCAAAATAATAGCCTCAAACATACATGGGATCAATAATAAATGTGTGAACTTGTTTCTCCAGACCGCTGACACCTTTTTCCATTTTCAGATTTTCTAGCCAAACCTATGGTGTGACAATATTTTCTCAGTTAATTATTTTGCCTTTTTCAGAGTCAAAAAGTAACATGACAGTGTATGCACACAGTAATGTGCATATTTAAAAGTATGCAGGTTGAATCAACGAGATCAACAACAAAATTAAACTGACTCAAATAAAGCAAACAAAGACTGATATCACATCACTAAAAATAAATTTCCCAAAACATTCTAAAAGTTAAAAAATAAAAATATGGCTTAAATTAAGATTTATATTTACAAGACAAGATAGAATGAAGAGAGTTAGAATGTCAAACTCCACTAACAATAAAGAAATAAGTAAAAGTAAAAAAGTGAATCACTAGAATGTCAAAGGAACTGGCCCTTTAGCAGAGACCACTGTGTATTGCAGTTCTCCTCTAAAACAAGGTTTGTAATATCAAAAATTACAACTACAAACAGAATGCATTACAGAATTACAGAATTATTCCCTTTGTTTCCTTAATTGCAGTGGTTATTATCAATAACACTGGACTAATTATTTTTATCCTTTGTAAAATAACAAGCTCCAGTGGCAGTAATCGATGGTCTCAGACTTTTTATATTTAGCACATTCAGGCTGCAATAAAATCAGGTAATCAAATCATCCTTTATATTTTGACCAGCTATTTGGGCCTAACCAGCATAATGTCAACTGAATTTCTGCAAAAATTTGCTAAATTCACCTTTTTTTCATTTCTCATGGAAGCACCACAATATGGTAGTATCACATTCCGTGTATGGTTAGTCTTCCATCATCGCTGCACATCTTGAACCCACCAATCATTATTGCCGTCAGGCAGAGTGTCAGGGTTCTGAACAACAATTAAATATTACTATAGCAAGTACCAAAAGATGGACCTGCTGCACATCAGCCATAGTCTGGTTGCCCAGTCAGTATGTCTGAACAACATTAGTTTGCTTTACAGTCTTTAACAAACACCAGTTAGACATAAAATTTTGACCACTGATGAGTGAGGTTAAAAACAGATTAATACAATTGGACCTGGCAAGATTTTATATATTAGACAGCAAGAGGACATCCTGTCCTTGCAGATGATGTTGGATGCAAAGAATAAAACTGGTCAGCTGTAAGGCTATGAGTGAATTTGACAAGAGGCACGATTGGTGGCTCGATTGCTCAAGAATGTCTATGTTGCCAATGGGGCCCTAGGCCAAATGCTGTGAGGGGACCCACTTCCAGCTATGATAATCACCTTAAACCAACAAAGTTACAAAATCCTAAACTAAGTTACAAAATCCTTGTTTGGTTGTTGTTGTTTTTTTTAATTCTGCATTTAAAACAACTCTTTTCATAGTTAACTGGTGAGTCTATAATGAATTCATTAAACTGACTGTATGGCAGAATATGTTATGCCTGGCAGTCAGATAAATCACTTCATATTATTCAACCCTAGTCTGTAATGTAGAGTGATGCAGTTGGTAGCACTGTTGTCTTACAGCAAAAGGTCCTGGGTTCAAATCCCTGGGGTGTTTCTACATGGAGTTTACATGTTTCCCTCGTGCACCTTGTGAATCTGTTCTGTCCAGGTACTCCGGCTTCCTTTTCACAGTCTAAAAAATATGAATGTTAGGTCAACTGGTTACTCTATATTTCATTTCCAAAGTAAAGCCCTCTGATGTACAGATCATTTATATACATTCTAGACAGTTGTCAAATTCCTAAATTATTTTTTAAATGTTGCGTCAAGCGAATTGGCTTCATTGCATGCGGGGGCAAATTTGATCTTCGACACAAGCTACAACTTCAGACTAACGATGTGTCCCTGGCTTAGTCACAATCGGTGACAAATTATGCAATTTGTAGTTTTTCATTGTGAATTCTTCCACAGTTTTCAAACAAAATACTTTGTCAACTGTTCTTGTGTTGATTCTAGTACTGCTGGGGACCCCGGGACAGTTGAGGGCCTAAACCAGCATTCTACTTAGTCTGTAAATGAAGAATAAACGCATAGCCAGATAAGACTGCACATACAAGGATATATTCCAGGAGACCAGAATTTAACAACAATTATGTATGTATGTATTTCCACATTCCAGAAAAATGAAGAAAATTAACACTGTACTAAAAATCAAGGAATGTCTTCTCACCACTGAATGACCAAAAACTTAAAAAAACAGAGACTCAAATAAAAAACAAAAAATCATGACAGAAATAATTCTGTACATGGCTAAATGTGAAAAGGTTAATCAGAAAACGAGCACCCAAACTGTAATGACTGAAGCTAAATAAGAACCTAAAGGTTTTTTTAAGAACCTGCTGGTCTCTCCTTAAGCCAAAAGTAAAGTTATTTCTAGCAAGAAGAGGAGACTAAACCTCACTTTAATTTAAGACGAAAGAGGTCAAAGGAGAAGCAACAACAAGGGAATCATAAAGTTTCAGAGCCAACAGGTTGTCATACTCTGGTACCAGACCACAGCAACAGGATACTGAAAGATTCTTCACTTTGGTCCGATATATTTATCTCTCTTTTCGGTTCCTGATTGGTTCTGCAAGTCTGTGGTTCTACAATGATAGTCAAATCTAATCTCGGGATAAATAGTCGGCTGGCCGGCCAGAATATTGCCTTTAGAATGAGATGTGGTAAAGGTTTCTATTCAGCAGACATCCTGGAGATTGTGGACCTTAGGTCTTGTCAAAATGGGATTTTTAATTAAAATTGGATCTGCATAGAACAAGTTACTAAAGGCTTAAAAATCTCTAACGTGAAAAATAAAAAACAGAGTTTTCCATATGTTCACACAAAAAGAGGTAAAACTATGTTTTAGCCAAAGTATGGAAAGGTTAAAAGAGACCATTTTTCTGGGTTCTGTCCAGCTTCTTTGAGAAGCAAAAATTTCAGAGTTTGGTGTTGCGTTTAGACAAACCTCAACTCCATCTAAGCACACATGTTTTGCTAGTCCATGGAAGGAGACTTGACCAGCCAGTCACAACTAGATTTTTGGTGTAATTGTGATAATCTGTTAATGGAGACAAATATAGCATTTTTACATTTGGTCTTCCTTTACGGCAGAAAGAGAAAGAATAAAAGAGAGAGAGAAAAAAATAGAGAGAGAACACAAATTACTAACTTTGGCAACATTCATTTTTCTTTTTTTTTTGTTGGTGAAGGTCAGGTTAAGCGGTATGTGTTGCTACATGACTTACAATATCAAAAATGATTTGCATTAGTGAATACTTTCATCTTTTAATAACAAAAGCTAAATGAATATGACTTTAGATGCATAAAACCTCATCTGTGAACATTTTGAGTGAGTTCCAAGAGGTGAAGTTTTTAGCACCTTGAGTGTTAAGAAGATAAAAGCTCCAATAATCTCACGCTTCCTCACAAAATAATCAAGCTATGCATTTAAGAAAAAACAAAACAAAAAAGACAATCTAAAAGTCCAGTATGTGGGATGGAAAGGGCATTGAGTAGCACAATTTGCAACCAATTGAGTACGCCCACCTAATCTCCATACTTCATGGGCTACATAAAACATAAAAAAAGGCTTACAATTACTGTGCAGTGCAAAATAGTGTGGTGAAAGGAAGGTGATTTTGGTCAATAATATTGGTATTTCAAGGTAAGCTCAAAGCTCATACAGCATAAACTAGGCATATTAAATACATGCCCCATCCCAACCTCTTTTGAAAAGCACTTTGTTGTTTAAACAGATTTCTGTTGAACTTTTATTTCCATTGTGTGTTTTATTGTGTGTTATTTTATCTTTTTTATCAGCCCTAATTTCAATTGTTTTTTTTTGTATTTTGTTATTGTTTTGTCTCTGAAAGGCCTTCACAAAGACACTTAACTTGTTTTAATAGATACATCAGCAAGCTCTGTGAGAAGGTCTCAAGTGAATTTCTATTGTAGACAGTTATCCTCAGTTCAGGATGATTCAGGAATGACTCATTAATAGTTTGTTAATCATCAGACAGTTGTTTCCCAAGAACAGTGAGTGCTCAGAGTGTGGTGTACAGTTCCTGTAAAATTAGACTCAACACAAACATGGCAAAAAACTCATTTTTTATTAGTGTACATGCTCTTCAGCCTACTGAAACAACCTACTGAAACAAATAGACCATGCTTCTCTGTACAGACAGACTGTTTTTCATCACATTACTTATCCAGCTAGGTTCAATTATCTAATAAACAGAAGGGATAATGTGATCTTTTACATTTTGTGTCTTAATTTACTCATACTCGAGTTTATGTGATATTTGTAAAAGCATTGTTAAATCTCTCTAATTATATATCGGAAATAATCAAGAAAAAAAACCCAAAAAATATATAGATATAAATCATCCCAAAAATTTAGACACAAAGTCCAGTCTCACCTTTGTTTGGCAAACAAGGACCTGACCTTTTAACACATCATGCTGACAGTTCATGGATTAGGGTGTCTTTGCGGAAGTGCTTTAGAACTTGCCACTATCAAAAAAGTGGCAACATTTAGAAGACATGGTTAAAGTCAAGTCCATTTCAGAGGTATACTCTGTAGAATAAAGCATACTTTTACTTCTGGGAGCGCCTCACAGTTGGAAGCCTACAGGGCAGCATAGTTTCGTGCAGCAAGTCCTTGGGGGTCTGTGGAAAAGGAAGGTGTTGCTACAATTTGACTTGCTAAAGTTCTTTTTCTGGTTTCAAAGTGGCTTTATTCATCAAAATTGCAAAAGTGTTTTAGAGTATGTCACATTGGGTCCAAGAAATACTAACAATTGTGTTTGTTGCAGAATAATATTTACAATAATATTCATAATATTCATTTTACATGTACATGTAAGTCTCCTTATCCATCGTTGTTTATAAAGACATATAGGATTACTTTGGATTCCCCCAACTGTTTACCCTTAATGTTGCGTTTTTGCATTGATTCTTTATAAACAAGATCTAATTTTATGATTTTTCAGTCCCTTTTCATGACTTCACCTCTTGAATCATTGTTTCTTCGACAAAAAAGAGATGAGAACAGACAGAGAGAGTGAGAACACATGCCAAGTAACTGGCATTTGTCATTCATCAAGTGTCCTATCTTGGCACCCATCATGCTTAAACAATCAATTTGAAATGGTGTGTGACAAAGCCACATCATCTACCAATTGTTTTGTTATAGCATACTGCTGAATTTAAATATGCTCTCAAGATAATCGAAAACTAAGTTTGTCATAAAGTTATGTGCCCATAAAGTTATTTTTAATAAAATGTCCATTGTGAGAATAAGATATTCTGCCATCTTCACACTCTGTAAATTTCAGAAAAGGACAGGTTGGCTAATCTTTACTTAAATCTCTTAGAAATAGTCTCCTCTCTCCTTAATCTTCTCCCCTTTATTTTAGATTTGAAACACCCCTCCAAATGTTTTTCTGAACTCACTTTCTCAGCTTCATGCAGGAGAGGACAAGTAAGGCATGTGAAGCACAAATGAGACAAATGAGTTGAGCTACGGTCTACTCGAGCCAGTGTTTTTTTTTTTTTTTTTACAGAAACAAGCAATTCAGTCCTTAAAAAGCTAAAAGCAAATGGCTTGGTTGTTAAAAAAGAGCAACATCAATTATTTTAAGCAGATATTCCAGCTCTGGAGGTAATGGCACAGAAAGCCACAATATTTGTAGCTAGATGACGTTACACCGAGTGTAATCTAATGATTGCATACTCTAAATTTAAGCCAGTGTACATTAAGGTAATCAGAAATTACTATTTACACATTATTTCCTGCTATTCACAGCAAGGCATTTTTAAGCTAATTCCATGGTATTGATTTGCATGAAAGCATAGCTTTTGTTTCTTATAAATGTATTGATCTTGCATATTTTTTAATTATTCTTTTTTCTACTTTTACACCCCCCATCCCCTTATCCAATATCTGACTGAACATTTTCTCCGTCAAATTAGTGCAGCCTGCCGCAGAGACCAATCCATTCTGACAAGACTGATGACTGATTAAATGGCTAAATGTTCTTTTGCAGTATTGAGTTGAAAACAAAAAAAAAAAAAAAAAAAAGTTTTAAAGCACACAAGCGTAAGGAAATGTGACAGATAAATCAGAAGCACTTGGGAGATGGAACATCATTTGGGATTTCTCAGAAGGTACATATTTCGATGAATAAAAAAAAATGCATATTCAGAATTTTGTAGTTTCAATAAAATCTGATTGAAATCAATAATTTTACTCACTGAATAATAATGTCAATTTGCTGCCACAATGTTTTGGTATGACTGGAAGGCAATTAGAGGAACAACAGGGTATACATTGTTTTTATTTTTATTTTTATTTTTTTATTTTATTTGGTAGGGACAGATACAATAAACATAGATCATTATATGCAAAATAATCTGATTCCTGTATTATAGTGCTTATAGCCATAGCTAATTCGCAGCACCTGTCCCTTGAAGGGTTATTGGTTATTAACATTTGGAATATTTTGAATATGTCAGGAATTTTCAGGATGGACTCTGTATGGGTCAGCTGTGTAAAGTGCCTTTCAAAAGGCACAACAA